AGAGAGAGAAAGAAATACATTTACATTCTCACAGCATGAGCCTGGGAAGAAGCCTGAGCATAATGCACGAATGAATGTGTCTATGGCCATTAAACAAGTATTCTTGTTAAATCCCTGAATCCAAAAGTCATCATCTTTCTTTAAATAGGGAAAAGGAGAGGAAGAATAAATATGTGTATGTGTGTGTGTGTGTGCGCGCGCACGCACGTGTGCGCATATGTGTATGTGTGTGCATGTTGTTTTTTTAGCTCTCTCTTTGTATCTCTAATACCTATTTATAGTTTTTCCATTTATACTTTATCTTTATGTAGAGGTATAGGTACAGAGACACAGAGAAAAATTGAAAAGCAATAAATATCCCATTATCTCCAGCATAGTCTCAAATATGAAGGGATTCTTTACATGTTTTTGTATGAATCACAGCATTTTACTGACATAAAATGTATTTATAGCTTTGAAAGTTCAGTTGAGTCCAGTACAGTGCCATACACCTGTTATCCCAGGAATTGGGTTGACCGAGAAAGGAGGATTCCAAGCTTAAGGCAAGTCTGAGCAAATTAGCAAAACCCTATCTCAAAATAGAAGTGTAAAAAAGGGCTGGAGATGTAACTCAATGGTAGACGACTTGTATAGCATGTGAGTGGCTCCAGGTTCAATCCTCAGTACTGCACACACACACAAGTAACAAATAAAAATAAAAGAATTTGTGTAGAACAGTATTGACAACTGAACTACCATTTTAGAAAGTGAGGAATGAATACTTGCTCTCCTGGCTTATGACTTGATCTTTCGTTTTGGAAACCATAAATATGTTTACAAAGAGAAAATGGTTTTCTTTCATTTGTAAGACTACGGACACATCCTCTTTATCTTGTTACTTACCTAACATGAAGTATACTGTACAAGTAAATAGAATGATTGTTAACAAACTCCTGGGTAGAAAATCAGATAACAGTTTTCCAAAGAAGTAAGAAGACACTCTGTAGTATCCACTGATGTACTCTTGTCTGCAGAACAAAAACACATACCATACATCCCAGATTAGTCCAGGAAGGCACAGCCCAGAGGAGACTCTGCTGTGCAGACTCCTGCTGCCACCAGGTCTGACACTGCAGATGTCCAAGGGTTGTAGGCTGACCCCCACCCCCACGTCATTCTCCACTTCAGGTGCAGCCTCCCTGGAACATCAGCCCCCCCAAGGCTCTTGCCTGGATCCTCTCATAACAGCACTCCTCCTGTGCTGCCCACTCTGGCCCACATCACCCCTCCAGGGACAGAGTCTGCATCTCCTCACTTTCCTCAGAGGCTATATTTCTCCTCTGAGCTGGGCTCTGCTTGAAGAGCAAAACATTGGGCTAATCTCAGTGATAACAGAGGCTTTTCTTCTCCCCATTTATGATTGTGACAAAGATGGCTTTATTATTCTCCAAGGCCCTACATGCAGGTGCAGTTTCCTAAACTCCTTTTAATTTATTTATTTTTAATTTTAATTTATTTTATTTTTACCTTTATTTTATTTATTCATTTTTATGTGGGGCTGAGGATGGAACCCAGGGCCTCGCATGTGCTAGGAGAGCACTCTAGCACTGAGTTACAATCCCAGCCCTCTCCTTTTACTTTTGCTACTCTCATGAAAAAAAAAGAAAGAAGAAAAAAGACTTCTTCCTTCAATGATCATGTCTTTCAACAATACACCCTTTCAGATATTAAATCCTCATCTTTCCTCTTCTTCACATGGATTTCCTGTATTTTCAAACTCTTCCACCAGTATCTTCATTCCTTCCCTCTCTGATGATTGCTATCCTTGGTGCATATGTAAGCACGGGAAAATCTCCTTTATATTTGAAAATCTCAAGAGAAAAACTGAACCTTTTCTTCTTTTCCTTTGATTCATTCCATTCTTAAATCCACTGAAGGCTGCACAACTTCAATTCTTTGTCAGCTTTATCTACTACTGCTAATTTGCTGATTAACCCACCACTACAATTCTACCTAGCTCCTCAAAATGTTCTTGCTAGAGTCATCTTGATTTGTTATTTTCTAGAAACAAAAAGATAATTTCAGCCCCTCTATTGCTTGCTTTCTCTGCAGCACTGGAATTTGCTGACTACACCTCACCCCAAAACTCACTCTTCCTTTGGCAAGAGGCCCCATACACTTGACTTTATACCCTGTTCATTTTTTTTTTCAGTTAATACTGGTTATCTCTGCACATACTTTGAAAGCTCATATTGTACATGATAGGTATATATGATTTGTATTGGTCCTTTAAACAAATCAACATATGAAAGAAAAGAAAAATACTGATATTCTCCCAATCAGATCCTTGGTCCAATTATGGATATCACCAGTTTAGTCAACAGACATCAAGCTCCTTCCTAAAATAGAGATCTACTCACATAAAGAGCTTCTTCTCAAGTGCAAAGGTCTCCTTTGCTGACAGATTGGGTAAACACTGAAAGCCAATTAGCAGACAGAGTGTCCAGGTCCTGCCAGGACAGAATAGAAACAAAAGAACCATAGTTGTTGTTTTTTTTTTTTTTTTTTTCCATAATAAAAGAAAGAAAGGAAGAAGAAAAAAAAATTACTATCCTGGTTAAAAGAGAGGGGAAGAATGACCCCATGAGGTCTCTCCCTGTGTAGGGTATAGAAATTCTGTGTGGGAAGACAAAAAAAAAAAACATTCTGGGGTTGGATATTGGCTATAGTTGCACAATGAGCAGGTGCTTGATGCACTGAACAGTAACTGTACATTCAAAAAGGGTTAAAAGGGTAAAATTTATGATGTATACAGTTCAACAATAAATAGATACAAATATATATGAAAAATAAAATTAATTTTTCCACTCATTTTTCAATGCATGAACACATCCTACCCACAATGAATATAATGTTTACTCAATACTTATACTCAAAAAATATGAAATGGATTTTTCCAAGCTTGAAAAAAATAACAGCATTGATTCAAATTTACTTACCTAATCTGGATTTCGGTGCAATCATTTTTTAGGTGAAGGAGAATAGCACTCATAACCAGTCCACCTATGATTGTGGTAATGATCTTTTTAAAAAAGGAAAATGAAAAAGATAAAGAAATAGTTTCAATTAGAAGTGAAAAATGTACACCATTTATGATAAAATATACAGCTTCATAATCAGATTTCACCACTGAGATAAACAATTTACATGGCTTGGCCAAAGTCTCTGAGAGAATCAGAATACAGTGCACACTATTACACTACTTTCTAAATTAAGTTGAACACTAACCTGTTTTTTTTTTTTTTTTAATTGAGAGAATAACAGAGCAGATGTTGGAATGGCCAAGACTCCTCTCAGTGTCTACCAAGTATTCCCAGTTCAGGGCCCAGTTCAGGAGCGGGACCTATGAATGTCCTACAACATAGTAGCAAAGCAATGCAGGCACCTGGCAAAGTTGATCTGGGAACAAATTAAAGTCCACACAGCTAAGAGGGATGACTTCAACTGAGCTCTCAACTCTTCTGCCAGGAAACATGCACATTTTCTACCTGACCATTTCCCATAATCAGGATTGCAACCAGGATCTCACACAGGCAAGGCAAATATGCTCATACTGAGCCATATCCCCAGCACTTTTTGTTTTGCATAGGGTCTTGCTACATTGCCCAGGTTTGTCTCTAACTTGTGATCCTCCTACCTCAGCCTCCTGAGTAGCTGGGAATACAGGCATGTACCAACATATTAGGCAACTATTTTATACTTTAAGAAGTTTCAAGTGAAAATTCTTACATTAGAAATAAGAAAAAGAAAAGAAAATACTCATAATTCTTAAGTAGACTATATCAGAACCCAATTGCTCCCACATAAGAATCTCACAGCAAAATGAAAAGAATCTTTCAGATTACCCTCTCTATAGAGGTCCTGTAATTAGGCAGCAAGTTTTTGAATGAACGCCAGGAAATCCATCTGAGTTGGTGACAGAAGGAGGTGACGTAGGTGGTTTCCATGAAGGCTGGTCTCCTCTTCTTAAGACCACCTGAGAGTTCTTCTAATTCAGCTTTTGTGTCTTTGTACAGGGAGGAGTTAGCATAAAACTCGGCTAATGTTTTTGTAACTGTTTTTTCTCTCTTAGGAAATTCTTCATTGTGGCTGACTTTAGAAGAAAAATAGATAAAGAAGGGAAATATTATTAGCAGACAAGAACTGACTTAACCCAATTTTCTGTGACTCATTTATGAGATAACAATTTTATTCTAAAGCTATCATGAGTGTTGTCATTGATGTAAACATTAGTAAACATAGCTAATTGGCCAGATTCTGCCATAATCATATGGATAGAAAAAACTCACTCAACCTTTCCCTAACAATTTGGATCTCAGTTCTTGAAACAGACTTCTTACCACAAAGAGTTATATTTCTTAGTATAAAACCTTGTCCTTATTTTCTACTAGGAGAAAATACATAAAGTACCAAATTTTTATTATAAAAGTACAATAAATAATAAGCAATTTTATTTTTAGTGAATTTTCCTCTTACAATAACAGCATCATAATTGCTCATTCATAAATTGAATATAAAACACAGCACTCATTGACAATAAAGTCTATCTATTGGCTGGCATCAGAACATGGCATAAACGTGAATTCACAAAGCTAAGTTTTAATGAGCCACCACATTGCTAAGCTTTGGACAAACCAATTAGGCAAATATCTGTGAATCTAAAAGATTCACATACCTTCATGGTCTTCTTCCTCTCTGTTTAATACCACAGCAGAGGAAATTCCATAAATGACGTCCAGGAAGAAGTCAGCAGGGTCATTATGGGGCTCACAGGAATAACCTGTAAAAGGAGACACCCCAAGAACTCAGCGTGATGGTCTTGGAATGTAAACAGGTCTCATTTCCAGAGGGTGATGGAGGTGAGGCTAGGGAAGACAGAATCTTAAAATTTCTTCCTCCTCTTCTTGCTCTCTTCTCACCTCACAAATTTGTACTTTCTTTCATCCTATTCATTCATGCAGACTTTCAACAACATTCTATCTGCCAGCAATACATGTGTGGGTATCATAAATCATGAAACTCGAACAGCTATCAATATGCTCTGGTGCTTCCCAGTACTAAGGTTAGTACTTCCAAGTAAACTTAGTACTTCCCAGTACTAAACTTTAGTACTTCCCAGTACTAAAACTAGGTCCAAGAAAAAAAGTATTAAAGGCCTGGATACAGTATGTTTTTGAGTTCACGTAGGGACTGCTGAAACTTCCCTGTGTATGCAGCAATGACTGCTTCTCTGCCTACTGAATTTGGAGGTGCAAATGATCACCTCACATGCTGCCATATTCAAAATATGGAGCAGCATTCTTGAGAATATGAGCAGCAGGTTATACCTGAACTGCCACCTCAGCTTCTTTTGGCACAATCATCTGAAGAGAGCCTGAAGTCTGACTCTCAAATTCATCTCCACTGGACTCTCCAGACTCTTACATGCTTGGTTAGATTTATTTTATTTTATTTTTCAAATAGTTTGTTAGTTATTGATGGACTTTTATTTTATTTATTTATTTACTTATGATGCTGAGAATTGAACTCCGTGCCTAACACACTCTACCACTGAGCCACAACCTAAGCCCAGGTTATATTTAAATGACAGAGATTAAAATAAACAAATAAAAAATTAGCTAGTGAATATTCACTACTGCATTTGGAGTCATGGAGAAACACGTATGATCATCTCCAAATGTCTTTAAGTAGATTTTTGGATCCATTTTTAAAAAGCACATAATTCAATATGAAATAGAACCAGGCAGCTCAGAAACACTGGTTCATTAAAGATGAATTTAGAACCACACATTCTATTGACTATTATTCACACCCATTCAATTCATAAATCTTAAATATAATGTTCCTAGAAAGTGGTGTAGCATCTTCATGAGCCCTCATCAAGGCAGAGCAAGATCACTGCCAAGTCAACATAGAAAAAACCACAATTGGTTCTATGATCAAGAAGAAAGTAATACTGGTACTTTCCAAAAATATTGAAATGACAGAATAACTAGATGACAGTACAACCAGTTAAATAATGAACTTTCAGGAAAAGACCATTGTTAGGGTTGGGATTTGAAGTATTTCCTTCCCCAGATTCATATGTTTAGAACTTGGTCCCCAATGTAGCAATGTTGGGATGTGGGACTTTTAGAAAATGATTGGCTCATGAGGACTATAATCTCCTTAGTGAATTAATACATGTGATTAATTAAAAATATGAATAAATTACTAGGAGATGGGACCTAGATAGAGGAAGTTGGTGAGTGGGGCCATCTCCTTAAAGGTTTTATGTTTCCCTTGCCCCCCCCTCTCATTCTACTTCCTGGATGTCTTGAGCTAAGCAGCTTTCCTGTGCCATGTCCTTCTGCCATGAGGTTCTGCCTTATCACAGTCCCAAAGTAAGGGAGCCAACTGAAGGTGAACTGAAACCTCTGGAATCATTAGTCAAAATAAATCTTTCCTTATCAAAGTTGATTTTCTCATGTATTTATCACAGTGATGAAAAGTCGACTATCAGAAAATATGTACCAAGAAGAGGAGTCATTGCTGTGACTGTGCCTACCCATGTGGTTAAGAAGCCTTTGGAAGTGATTTGCAGGAGAAATCTGGAAAGGTTTGGTGATGATAGCTACAGAAGCCTTAAGATATTTTAAACAGAGCTTATTGAACAATTCTGGTGGGAGGTCAGAAGACCAGAATGCACATAGGAATGCAGACAGTAAAGATTACATTCATGAGTTTCAGATGGAAGTGAGGACTCTTTGGGGAACTGGACTGGAGGCCATTAGTAATACATCCTGGCAAAGAACATGTGTACACTTTTCCATGTCCTTAGGCTTTGTATGAAGTTGAATTTAAATGTGATGGACTAATTAATCTGGTGGAGGAAATTTCAGTGCAGCACAGCATTTTGATCTGTTTGACCATCTTTATAATAAAAATCAGGACTAAATATCAAAGCAGAAAGATTTTGAAAATTTTGTAGTTTGGCCAGAATTTGGCATGACTAAAAGCAAAACAAGTATTTCTCATAGAGACAATAGGAGAGATGCCTTGAGGGCATTCAGGAATTGACCAACCTGCATAACAGGCTCAATAGTGTACAAATGAAAACATGTTGAAAGACTTTAAGAAGAGTCCTTCGCACAGGGGTGCCTAAGAAGTTCTTTCCCTAGGATTCCTTTCACCCTGTGTTATGGTTTGGATGTGAGGTGTCCCCCAAAGGCTCACATGTGAGATAATGCAACAAGATTCAGAGGAGAAATGTTGGGTTGTGAGAGTGTTAACTCAATCAGTGATTAATCCCCTGATAGGGATTAACTGAGAGTAAGTGAAGTGGTAGGGAGCTGCTGGAAGAGGTGGGAATTGGAGGCGTGGCTTTTCTATCTGGCATGTGAAGACCTGTATCCGCTTACTGACCATCATGTGAACTGGTTCCCTCTGCCACACTCTTCTGATGTTCTGCCTCATCTTGAGCCCGGGGGAAAGGAGCCTGCTGTCTATCCATTGAGACCTGTGAAACTGTGAGCCCAAAATAAACTTTTCCTCCTCTACAATTGTGCTGATTAGGTCTTTTAGTTGCAGTGATGAAAAAGCTAACTAAAACACCCTGCTTAGCGGCACGTGCATTCAGAACTGCTGCAACCATGGTTCAAGAGGTCCAGAATAGAGCTGTGGCTGGTTGTATAGTTTGCTGTCATCCACATGATGCTGGTTTTGCAGGAATGCAGGATGCTAGAGTTAGAGGAGTCTCTCAGACTTCAACAGAGAGTTCAAATGAAGGCCTGAGAACCAGATAGTGTGTTTCAGAGTTGGAATCCCTGAAGGTGAACCCTGAGAAGGCAAAGTGTGAAACTTTGAGAGTGAAGCAAATGATGCAGTGGAATTCCAGGAATTAAGAGATCCCTAGAATGTAGAATGTCTCCCAAGGAAAGCTGCAGACTAGCAGCAGAACCAGAAGAAGGAGCCATAGGGGTTACAACAAGTAAGGACAGAGGCAGAGGGGCTTCCCCAGCCCTAAGAGCCCAGATCTTGCTACCATTGTCTCAGAAACTAAATGTAGACCTACAGAATTTAATGTTTTCACTGCTTTGGTCCAATCCCTTCATTCTATGTGCCTGTTTCTCCCTTTTAGAATGGGAAGGTTTACTCTGTCATTATATGTTGGAAGCATAGAACTTTTTTTTTTTTATGTAAGAGTTTACAGCTAAGGTTTTGTCTTGAATCTCAGAGGAGACATTGAAATTAGACTTTTGAGACCTGGTAGAACTGTTAAGGCTATGGGGATTCTTGGGACTGAATGCATTTTGCATTATGAGATAGGCATGAGTTTCTTGGGACCAGGGTAGAAATTTATGGTTGGCATATGAAGTGTCCCACAAAGATTCCTGTGTACAAGGCTTGGTCCTCAGTGGAAAAATGTCCAGAGGCGGGGCTTTTAAGAAACAATTGGATATAAAAGTTCTAACTTCATGTGGATTAATCCATTTGATGTATTAATAATTCCAATTATTCCTACTGGGAGGTGGGACCTAGTTGGAGGAAATAGGTCACTGGGAGCATGCCATGGGAGGATCTGAAATTGCATTCCCTTCCCCTCCCCTCCCCACCCCTCCCCTCCTCTCTGGTCATCATTGTCCCTGCTCCTCCTCCTCCTCTTCCTCCTCCTTCTCCTCCTCCTCCTCCTCCTCCTCCTCCTCCTCCTCCTCCTCCTCCTCTCCTCTCCTCTCCTCTCCTCTCCTCTTCTCTCTCCCTCTCCCTCTCCCCTCCCTCTCCCTCTCCCTCTCTCTCTCTCCCTTTCTGCTTCCTAGCAGCCATGAACTGAGCAACTTTCCTCTACCATATTCTTCCTCATGAGATTCTTCGTTGTCTAAGCTCAGGTCCAAAGCAATGGAGCCAGCTGACCATGGACAGAAGTCTCTGAAACTGTGAGCCAAAATAAATTATCTTTTTATAAGTTGTTTTTCTCAGGTGTCTTGTCACAACAATGGAAATCTGACTACCAATCAATGATAACTAAGAATCATAACATACAGGTCCAGTAAAAATACTCAGATGCACACACACACACACACACATGCATACTCAGATAGGAGAGGAAAAAGAAAGAGACCTAAAAATCAAGCAAGCACTGCCAAAATGAAGAAAAATTCTGGCACCAAAGTAACCAAAGATGTTTTAGGGTGGTGGAATCCCAGGTACCTATATATTATCAAACAGCACTCCTGTGGACTCCTCTGCTCTCTCCCAACATAGGATGAATGAAGGATCAAGTACATGCAAAAAGTCTACTACACCTGCTGATGAGAAGTACTCCAAAGCCTTCTGTGCAGGACCATGGTACATTAATTTTCCTGAAGCCAAGATGGTGAGGCTGTCAAACAGCTTGAAGATGAAATAGTGAGGTCTATGAATAGAGAAGATAACCGTTCTTCCCTGCTGAGAAATCCTAAGTTAAAAGGGAAAACAATGAATCATTAAATATATGAATCCTGAACTTCTTGGTAAAATATTTTATTCTTGCTATTAGACCATTTGTTCCCAGTTCCACTTGATTTTCTCTTATGAAGTTCTCATCTCATTTTATATTATCTACATGATTACTGGGAAAATGAAATTCAATATTTTTATTAAAAACACTAGGACATGGGCTGGGGATGTGGCTGAAGCAGTAGCTCACCTGGCATGTGCTGGGTGCTGGGTTCAAACCTCAGCACCACATAAAAATAAAGATGTTGTGGCCACCGAAAACTAAAAAATAAATATTAAAAATTCTCTCTTTCTCTCTCTCTCTCTCAAAAAAAAAAAAAAAAAAAACTGGACTTCTTAAAGGATTGTGAATCAACAGTCTGGAATCTACTATAAAGATTCCTGGATAGTCTTCCCAGATTTTGAATTAAGATCTAGGGGTAGGTACAGGGATTAATTTTCATTTTTTTGTACCTGGGATTGAATCCAGGGGTGCTTAACCAGTTAGCCCTCTTTTATTTTGTATTTAGAGACAGGGTCTTATTAGGTTGTTTTTGGCCTTGCTAAGTTGCTGAGGCTGGTTTTGAATTGTTATCCTCCTGCTTAAGCCACCTGAGCTGCTGGGATTACAGGCATGGGCCACTGCAACTGGCAGGAGTCCATATTTTTAAGAAGCAGCCCAGGTAATCTGTAAGTACACTTGAGTTTGAGAACGAGTTATAGAGTAAATATTATTAAAGGTGTCATATGATAAATTCTCCTTGATCATTTATATCTTTTAGGTTTAATTTTCATTCTTCTAACCTGATAAAACAATTAACATTACTATGTGTTTGCTAAATGCTTTAGAAACAGCCATGTTTTCATGTTCACAATATTGTTATAAGGCAGTTCCGATATAATTATTTTCTTCTTTTTACATTTCAGGCTTAACGTTCAAGCAGATGATCAAAGGGTCATTGAATACTAGGGAAAAAACTTTGAATTTGATTTCTGGTTTATTCTACAGTATAAGCAGTGCTAAACTTCCTTTACAAAGGAGTTATAGCTTATGGGTAGAAGACACAATGACAAAATCACTGTTGAAAAACTATATTTGAAATACTTTAGGGACCGGGCATGGAGGTACATGCTTTTAATCATAGGTATTCAGGAGGGTAAGGAAGGAGGATTGCAAATTTGAGGCAAACCTGGGAAATTGAGTGAGACCCTGTCTTTTTAAAAAAAGAAAACAAAAATTAAAAGAACTGGAGATATAGTTCAGTGGTAGAGCACCCCAAGGTTCAAACTTTAGTACTAAAAAAAAAAATTATGAGAAGACAGCTTGAATATGCATACTTGAGAAGCACCTAGTATATGCTAACTGTGTGTAGAAAGATGCTTTGCCTCAAAGATAATCAGGCCAGTAGGCCAATAATTTCAGTACAATGGGAAATAGAATTAGATGAGGGTTCCATTTAAGCAAAATAGGAGACTTACAACCCATTATGAAGATAATACTAGTAGAACATCAAAAGTCTCAGCAGGAGTGATCTAAGAATAGAAGACAGCTCATTCTTGAAGAACAAAATAAACAAAGCATGAAATTTTTTAAAAATGCTTTTTTTGGAAACTAAAAGAAGCTCTTTTTACAAAGCAGGACTTATGTGTGTGTATGTTTTTGATAATGAGATATTAGATGTTGGATGAAGAAAATAACTAAAGAGATTCCCCCAAAAAAGGGATGATTAAGTCTTCACTCAAAAAACACAACTGTAGCCAGCAGGTAATAGGGACCTGGACTAGAAGCAGGAAGCATAATTGCATGACAGCCCTGCTTCCCAAAATGTTGTCTGAGGACCAGTGGCAACGTTATCAGAATCCCCTGTTTGATTCTCCTGTGGAGAATCTTACGCTCTATCTCAGACTAAAGAAATAGAATATGCATTATAACTAGACCATTGATGATAAGAATACACATAAGTCATTTAGAATGACCAATTAGAGCTCCCTGCAGTAGGCAGCATGCTTGTGTGCTACATAGTGCAAAGCATAAAGAAAGCAGTTATATATTTTGTATCAATCCATCATTTGCTAATAAACATCATTAACATATTTCTAAATAATAAAAATATCTTGGGTATATTCTGAAATGGTACCAGAAGGCTAGACCCATAACTTGGCATCTACACTTGTATGTGCACTTTACATTTCAAAATTAAGATGTTTAATTATCCATCTTTGCATCTTCCTGTTTCTTCTCTGCTAGCACAGAACCTTTCTTATGGTGGCATGGGCACCAGAGGAAGTGACATAGTGATAGAGAGGGTGAGCCATGAAGGTGATGTGTCTGCCAGCTTAATATATGAGGCAGAGGGGTTCCAGAGGTGGTAGACCAAAGCAACTGGGAGACTGATTGCATTAAACAATTAAATTACTTAACTGAGAAAATAAGCAAATATATTGAGATAATGGGCCATATCTCTCACTGTCTAAAGTGACTTGCAAAGATTGAAAGGACAAAATTTAAAATAACACTGAAGGGGGCTAGGGCTGTAGCTCTGTGGCAGAGCACTTGCCCAGCATGAGTGAGGCTCTGGGTTTGATCCTTAGCACCACATAAAAATAAACAAATAAAATAAAGTATAGCTGTCCATCTACAACTAAAAAAATATTTTAAAATACACTGAATTGTTAGATTGGAATTAGGAATATTATTATGAATTCATGGGATTTTAATGATAACATTAAATGCTAAAAGAAATATCAACATTTGCAGATGTATGTTTATTTGTGACTATCAGAAATTCACATGTAGGTGTTGGTAATGTTGCTCAGTGGTAGATTGGGTACATACAATGTGCAAATCACACAGAGACTCATAAATGCATATGTAAGTATATTTATAATTATTATCTGAACAAATAAAATATAGAATCAGATTTCTACTTTATATGTGTGTACACACACACACTTACACATGTATATTTCCTAGATTTGTCTTCTAAAGGCAATGCCACTAGAAGCTAAGCCACTCCAATAGTAGTAAGTGCACTAAACAACCATATCTTGGTTTCTAACCAAGGGCACCTTCTACAAATGGCTGATATAGTACAACGTGAGCATGGAACATCATAATGACCACAAAGGAAAGAAATGCTGGACAAATGATTAGGGAGAAGTCAAAGGAACACAAAAGCCACATTGAATGAGGCCCAATCAGGATCAACTTGATCACTGAAACAGGGAGTAATAGAGATCCGACTCACTGAATCATATGGGAAATGAATAGGGAAGAAGAAACACCTCTTTCTTAGATATGCTGTCAACAATTACATGTTAGGCAGCTACCACAAGAGCAGGAGATTTGGGTACATCTAAAATTGGTGGGGGACATTTGATGAGGAATAGAATTTGGCATTAAATAGTCTATTTTATTTCCCAATAATATACTAATCTATTCCAGTGTGGGGAAAACAGTAATTTATCAGAAGAGAAGTCCAGCAGACACCAATGTGATCAGATGATGGAGGTGTACACCAGCTGTGGTGGGTGAAGCTCAGGTGTGTTATACTGGGAACTCAGCATGGTTTCATGCCTGAGTCAGCCTAAGCAACTGTAATAGACCATCTGAAGGTCACTCATGAAATGTCCTAACTCAACCACATGAGAGCCAGAGAAAGACTGAGCATCTTTTCCAGATTAGAGGATAAAAAAATGAAACATCCAGGAAATACGTGTTTCTTCAGAATCCTGAGAGAGAAAGAAAGCAGGGTGAGCTTGTGACATCTGACTGGAGTTGAAGGACTCAATAATTGTGAAGCTGTCATTGTTAAGTTCCTCACTGGGAGGTTGATATGGTATAGTGTCTTTATATCTTGGAGTTTAAACTAAGGAGTATTCAGTAGTGATAAAGGATGATGTAAAGTAAAAAATCTATGTAATGGTGATCAGAGACATGGAGGGCAATAAAATGCAGTAAAATGTAACAGCTGGAGAGACTAGGAGAGAAGAGTGGATTTTATTTGTAATATTCTTGGAGCCATCTTATAATTTTGAAATTATTTTTTATACTTTCAAATGAATTTAAAAGTTAACTTTTGAAATGTTTCCTATAAACTTTCCTTTCACAGTCTTGCATTTTTTTCTTTTTGTTATTGGGAATTGAACTCAAGGGCACTTAACCACTAAGCCACATCCCTAGTCCTTTTTTATATTATATTTAGAGACAGGTCTCACTGAGTTGCTTAGAGCCTCACTAAGTTGCTGAGATTGGCTTTGAACACATGACCCTCCTGCCTCAGCATCCAAGCTGCTGGGATTACAGACATATGCCACCATGCCCAGCTCCACAGTTCTCTCTTCTTTTTTTAAAGAGAGAGAGAGAGAGAGAGAGAGAGAGAGAGAGAGAGAGAGAGAGAGAATTTTAATATTTATTTTTTTTAATTTTCGGCGTACACAACATCTTTGTTTGTATGTGGTGCTGAGGATGGAACCCCGGCCGCACGCATGCCAGGCGAGTGCGCTACCGCTTGAGCCACATCCCCAGCCCCAGTTCTCACTTCTTAATAAAAGCTATTGTCATTTCTTTTGCTTCATTCTTCCTCTTAATCAGGCCCCAAATCTCAGGCATCATCTCTCAATTCTCAAAGCCCAGGTCCACTTCCCAAACTGATTGTTTTTTCTAGCCTCAAACAGATTCAGAACCTGTGCTCCCCACCACTGCAGCATGAGCACCTTAGTCCAGACCCCATCCTGCCTCAACAGTTCCTTCTTAGAGTCCTTCACTCATCCTATCCTAACCTCACAGCCTTCCCTATAGCCATTGCCCTGCTCCTATGCTCAAAATGCTTCCATGAGTCTTTTGTGTTAAGTACAAGGTAATCAAACTAGATTTAAATGGGTCTGTTTTCCAAAATCAGATTCTCAGTAACCAATCATAAGAGCTCTGTATTACCTGAGTTGCATTACAAGGAAGTCCCCTCTGTTTAACCCCTTAAGGAAAGTAACTTTCTAATAACCTCTATGCTATATGTTCTCTTCTTTCTT